CCTCCGGGCGGCCCCCGTCCTCCTCATTCCAGTTCCCGTGGGAGAGGCGGAAGAGGCCGACGGCCTCCTCCAGCCACGCGATGGAGCGCTGGTGCTCGCCCGCGTCGTAGGCCACCTGCGAGGCGCTGCCTGGCCTCCATCCCATCCCATCCCATCCCAGCCCATCCCACCCTATCCCATCCCATTCCACCCCATCCCATCCCACCCAATCCCTCCTCATCCCATCCTATCCCACAGCCCCAGAGGAGGGTTGTGGTTGGCAGGGACCCCTGGAGATCCTCTTGTCCGGATCAGGCTCAAGCAGGGGCACCCGCACACAGGGCTGCAGCCCTTGGATGTCTCCAAGCGGGGAGACTCCACGAGCCCTTTGGGCAACCTGGGCCAGTGCTCGTCCCATTCCCCCTCCACTTGCCACCCATTCCATCCCCTCCCACCCTGTCCCATCCCCACCCCCATCTCCATCCCAGTCTATCCCATCCCCATCTCCACCTTCATCTCCATCCCAACCCATTCTCATCCCCACCTTCATCTCCATCCCATCTCCATTCCAATCCATTCACACCCTCATCCACATCCCATCTCCATCCCATCCCCACCTTCATCTCCATCCCTTCCCCATCCCATCTCCATCCCAATCCTATCCCCATCCCAAACCATCCTCATCCCCATCTTCATCCCCACCTTCATCCCATCCACATCCCCACCTTCATCCCATCCACATCCCATCCCATCCCATCCTTATCCCCATCCCATCCCCACCTTTGTCCCCATCCCATCTCCACATTCGTCTCCATCCCATCCCCATCCCATCTCCATCCCAACCCATCCTTATCCCCATCCCATCCCCACCTTCGTCCCCATCCCATCTCCACATTCGTCTCCATCCCATCCCCCCCTTCAGCTCCATCCCAACCCATCCTTATCCCTATCCCATCCCCATCCCATCCCCACCTTCATCCCCATCCCATCCCCACCTTCAGCTCCATCCCATCCCCACCCCATCTCCATCCCATCCCCATCCCAATCCCTTCCCCATCCCAACCCATCCTTATCCCCACCTTCATCCCCATCCCATCTCCACATTCATCTCCATCCCAACCCCATCCCCATCCCATCTCCATCCCATGCCCACCTTCAGCTCCATCCCATCCCCACC